TCCCCTGATATATTTTTTTAAATTTTGAATTTTTCACTTTCAGCGAATACCTTCTCGATTCTCATGCTCCCCTGATACGTTTTCAAAAATTTTGAATTTTGAATTTTCAGTGAATATCTCCTTGATTTTCATGCTCCCCTGATACGTTTTCAAAAATTTTGAATTTTGAAATTTCAGTGAATATCTCCTTAATTTTCATGCTCCCCTGATACTTTTTCAAAAATTTCGAATTTTCCAATTTCAGTGAATTTCTCCTCAATTTTCATGCTCCCCTTTTACTTTTTCAAAAATTTTGAAAAAGTATATATTTGAATAATACTGAAAAAGTATATCTTTTTTCATTCATCTCATGTATCAAAGGTATTGTCGATGTTATTCAAAAAATTCAATGGAGAACGAACAATATGATTTAGATGTTTATTGAACTTTGTGATTTCCAATACAACATTACACATACTACGTACACCTTAATAAACTCCCTCTCCTTTGCATAAATGCTGATATACTGTCTAACATACTGTGTTTCGTAAAGTGCTAATAACTGTTTAAATAATTCATGAATCCCTATATACAAATTTTCATTTAAATCTCCATCAATTCATTATCAAACTTAAATATTTTATACAATTTGCACTAACACCTAAGCTTAGGAATAATTATTGACACTGAATCATTTTCTACTTGCGTTACCGTAAAAAACATGATGTATAAGAATTTCAATGGACAATTTACAGTGAATAAATTATTTAATTTCTACATTACTGGGATTAACGTTAATTTATACAGTTCAATGATTGCGTGAGATTTCCGAGACCGAGATGATCGAATCCCTTGAATGTCTTCACATAAATAATTTTCAATAAATTTCCCCGTCGGGTAATTAAAAAGTCATCGAAAAGTTATCATTCACAAAAAACATTGCAAAGTGTTATCCGAAATGAATTCCGTAGTAAAACCTCACAAAACAATTCCAAAGCTTTATGCCTTTTTTCATCAAACCCCCCACTTCACTACTGAATTAAACATTTATTTTCTATAAAAAAAGATGACGTAAAACAATGTAAAAATTGACTAGTTATAAACACAACAAATTGTTGTTATTTGACACCAAAATTCGACAAACGAACGATTATACATTTTCGAGATGAAAAGTTGTCTAAATGCCTTCCAAAATATAATTTAAATATATTGTCCCGCTAGATAAAAGGCACTCCGTTGATGGCACATCTCTCCAACAATTTACAATATAAATTCAACTTTCTTATCCGAAAGATGTCATGGGTATGCTATGGATTGTCAAAATACTTCCTCTCTATGGTAAAGAACGATATACGAGTGATTCTACTGAAATTGCAACTTACATCGAGAAAATGAACAAGGAAAATCCAGCAGTCGTATTGTTTGTTGTTACCAATCGCTGTTGTTCTTTTTTACCAGTAATTCTCATTAATTAATTAGTTCTACAAGCGAAGAAAACATTAAATCCTTCGTCAAAAATTTGAAAGAGCTCACGAACGAAATCCTCATAACATCCTCAATTAATCGCAAATTTCTTGAGTTCACCTCAATAAAACAATACACTGAAATATGCGCTACTTGTCAATACTGATTCATAATATTTGGCGTGTTCATTTGCGCCAGTCGATAATCATTCATACTTGCCCCTCATAGTTACCACTACTATTCATTACCAAGAATATTTCTCCGTACATCATGCACACATATACACGCGCTTTCGACAGTCGCTTATGTTTTCATTTATTATTTTTACATTGAATTTTTCAACAGGTACGGGAACCGCTCTTGGCCATCGTCGTCATCGTCATCATCGGGTAGATTGGATTCCGCACTGGATGGCGGTGTATCCAACTGCGGTAGTCCAAGGTCCAGGTATTCCTGGAAGGTGACAATGTAAATATTAAAAACCACTTTTCTTCCGAGTCAATATGGCTGAGCACTGCTAATGCATGTGGAGTAGTTCTCACAAGAACTGATTTCCTGTCGTTGTTATTTATTTTTATTAGATTTTTTAGTTATTTTTAGACAATTATAATCCGTTATTCAATTCCGTTAAATTATTCGAGGCTTACTTGATTCGATGTTTGAGCGAGGATTTTATCAAGGCGATCGACAATTGCTTCGAAATCAGGCCTTTCTTCGGGGAGATAACTCCAACAGTCTCGCATTAACATGTAACTGGAAGAAGAAATATTATTTTTGAGATACTATTTTTGGGATTATTTTTGAAAAATACTGTTGCTCCGTAAACCTACATATTGAGAGAGCAGCAAGGGGGAATTTCCATTCTACGGCCACTTTTGAGCCATTGTAATAATTCTTCAACTGCCGATATGCATGGGTACGGTGTAGCCCCAAGCGTCATTATTTCCCACAGCAGGATTCCGTACGACCATCTGCAAAGAACATACCATTAAAAATATTAATACAAACCCTTTTCATCACATTTTATATCCTCAATAACGATCCGCGCAGACAGAAACATATCATCAACATCAATTCAATATTTTATTTGTAAAACAAGACTAACTGTAAAGAGATGAGCACATTATGTTCAAAATGTGTAAGAAACGATCTTTTCTTTATCGTCGCCTTAAAAGCAAAGGCGCATAAGTACTTTTTGCTCGCATTTCCTTTTCAACACCAACTGGCGTATACTTTTTGTTCATTAAAACATTGTATGAAGCGCTCGGAAAACACGAATGATTCATATAAACTTTTTTTATGTTTTAATTCTCTATTTCCTAATACTTACACGTCGGACTGAGTGGTAGAAACTCGATCGAAAAGTGCTTCGGGCGCCATCCATTTGACCGGCAATCTACCATCAGTAGTTTTCCTGTAGTAATCGTGACAGTGGATATCCCTAGCAAGTCCAAAGTCAGCAATTTTTAGGACGTAGTCCTCTCCAACGAGAACATTTCTCGCAGCCAAATCCCTGTGGATGCATCTCTTGCTCGATAAATAGTCCATTCCTCTGGCGACTTGGAAAGCAAACGACACGAGATCCTTTTGGGTGAGGATTTTCCTCTCTGGTGGCATCTCTCCTATCGTTGGCTCATAGCCTGATGATGGTCGGTGTTTTCTCAGGAAGTCCCGGAGATTTCCGTGCAATGCAAATTCAACGACGACGTAGAGAGGCCCCCCTTGGGTGCATGCACCCACGAAATTTATTATGTTGCCGTGCTTTCCTATCATCTTCATTAGCTCCATTTCAGATACAAGATCCATCATTTCCGCATCTGTGTGACCCTCTGTCAATAAAATTTAATTTAAAATAATGTCGTATTGTCATGTGGAATATTATAAGAGAAAATTCGAAACGAACCTTTCAACATCTTCACTGCAACTACATTTGGAATTCCCGGTTTTCCAGTTTTAGTTTCAGCAATGACAACTTTTCCAAAAGCACCCTCACCCAGAGATTTTCCCAATCTCAGATGCTCCCTAGGCAATTCCCATGCACTGTCCAGGGGTAATTCATACTCTGAAATACTCCCTCCATTGCTGTCCTCAGTTGTCATTGTGGATTTTTGCTTTTCGATCTTGACTATAGGCATTAGCTGCAGCTCCTGCACATTCTGTGCATTCACTAAATTCTGCTTTTCTACGATAACTTTTTTCGTCCACTGAGTGACTACCGCGGCTCTTGCAGTCTCGATGGCCAACAGTTTCTTCATCTTCTCCCGTTTCAGACGCTGGAATACGTAAATTACCACGACAACACCGATGGCAAAGAGTACAAAGAGAACTGCAGCGAGAATATTCACAGCGAGAGCCGGTGGTCGAGCTGTCATTGGAACTCGAGGAGGTTCGATACCTATCAATCAACGAGAATAAAAATTCAATAAGCTGAATAGACGAACGGCCAGTATCTCCAATCAATCCTAATCTTAGTTCTCATGGTTGATAAAAAGGCAATTGTCTCGCGAATGAACTTGACGTAAAAATTCTCTCCACATATCTTCCCAAAATTATTCGAAAATTTCGGGATCTTTCCAGGAAATTAACTCCTAGATAAGTCCACTGCGATGAATTTCTGTAAACGTCTTTCTTTTGAAGATATTCACGAAATAGTCAGGGAATTAATTACAAGCTCCTCTCATCTTCCCATTTCACCGCTGAAATAACAGTAAATGTCTTTAAAGAAAAAACATCAAAGTTAAACTTACTCTCAACGACAGATAAATATGCATTGCTAAACGTTTCTCCAAGTGTATTTTGCGCGATGCAAGTATACCAGCCCTCGTCTTTCTCCGTGACATTGTATAGTGTCAGAGTCTCTGGATTCTCCACTGCATCTCCAGCCTGAGATAAAGCCGACAATATTTATTAACCAATTAACCAAAAATGATAAATTACACACGAGAACAACGAATACATGCAACCAAGAGGGTTAAGCAACAATAAGAGAGAACTGTGACACGTTATTTATCCTCTGGTGAAGACCAGACATGCAAGATTTTTTGTTGAAGCATGCCCACCTGAACCTCGACTCTCAAGCTCGTATTCATAACGCTGAGTAGTGACTCGTGACGACCCCGGTACCACTCAAGATGACGATGTGCATTTGATAGTATGACGCAGTTAAAAGTAGCGTTGCTCCCAATGAGTACAGTAGTATTTTCAGGTGCCGTTGTCAGGATTGGCCGGAACGGTACGTTTTCTGGATTTGGAAAAAAAAAAGAACCCAACCACCGATATTACCGTGTGTTGAAATTTTAAGGGAAGATAAATGAGAATGAGGCGAGTGATTGTAAGCTTCAGGGTTCCACGAAAATATTTCGATCATGTCACAGTAATTATACTCCTCTGAAGATCACATTCAGCAGAGAAAGAACCATGAAGCTTTGAAAATGAGAGATCAAATGGCCTGACCAAATGTACACATAAATTAATGAAGACGCCTTCCAGAGCCCCCGAAGACACATAAATTATCACATTTGAGGGACAATTCAATTGAATAAATTTTAGTCAACAACAGTAACCATCCACCAACAGAGAACATAGACCAGAGTATTCCACCAACTCCAAAGCTGAAAATCGAAAATTTCGCCGGCTTCCAATTTCCCCAAAGACCTTCACCAATTTCTTTTCATCATTTTATACCTGTAGAATTGTTCCATTTGGTGGTGCACCATTGTCATTCGGATAATCATCGACTTTGAACCACTGAATGAACGGCTCAAGGTCCGAGACTATTGGACATCTGAATGTAACGTTGCTGAAGAATACAACTGTTTCGTTCTTCGGGAAGCCCTCGTTGATGTACGGCTTATGTGGGAAGCGCTCTAGCGATTTTTCCATTTTATTCTTACATATTCAACAATTCCCACATGATATTCAACATGCAAAACGACGAAACAAGACGAGTCGATCTATTCACTCCATATTTTTTCATTTCTCGTATCAAATATGTGATGTATTTGGACTTCGAATATATAATTGTAAGTTCAACTCATTTTGTTGCATCACTTTGCATTACAATTACCAATTAAATAATTTCTGCAATATTTTACCTATGATGTCGACCTTGAAGGTGTGATTGATGCACCCCAGATGATTGCAGACGATGCACGTGTAGTTTCCACCATCATCAACGACGAGATCTTCAATTCTCAAGGTCCACTTTGAGGTGAAAATGGGACCAACACTTCGCGATGGTTCTTCATGGTTCTTCAGCCAAGTTATGTTGGGTCTGGGATTACCAACACTTGAACAACGCAGTTTCAGCATATTTCCAGCGGGTTTCACCACTGACTGATGCAATTCATCGGATTTGTTAAAAGTTGGAGGACTCTCGGGAACCGTTGCATTATGATCTCCTGCATTTTCAGTCTCGGATTTATCGTTGTCTAGGTCAGTCTCCAAGTGGAGGGAACGTGTTTCTGGTAGGTCTGAACCAAAAGATATTTATTAATGAAAATGTGATTGACATATTGACATAATTTTCTAATTGCTTAGGTTTCTGGGGGACGAATTGTATTGAATTGCAGGGAAAGGTGAGTATCCAATGGGAATTTAATGAATTTAGAAGAATGAACTCACTTCTGGCACCAATATCAAGCTCATTGGTTTCTTCTTCTGGCCTGAGGGCACCCATGACATTGCCAAGTCCCGTACTCTCGCTCTGATATCCATCATTCTGTGCACCCTCAACTCTAACTGTGACGTTTCTCCACTTTAACGAGTCTCTACTCTGCATTCTACATCCATAATTACCCTCGTCCATCATTTCCACATATTTGATTCTCAACGACTGTTGACTGTTGAGAACTCGAATTCTCGAGGAAACCCCGCGTATTGGAGTCTCATCCCTGAACCATGTGACATTTTCATTTTTATATGTCGCTAGACAGCGCAAAACTAGTTTTTCACCTTCCTGCAGTGTTACATCCTCATTGAATGTATCTGAAATAAATGATGATGATACTATTATTTTTCGCTCAATTCCGGGTGTCTGAATCAGGGAAACTTTGATTCTGGGAAATGTGCGGGAGCCATTGCTTTTTCAGTCCCAGTGGCTTTATAACACAGGCGCCAGGGAAACTTTAGTCTAAACGCCCACGGATTCCTCGTAAAATAAAAACCTCTGGTAAACACTGGGAATTTTCAAATTGTTATTTTTTCGTTATCTGCACTTTTCCTCAAATATTTCATGTGATTAGCTTTTAAAAATCAACAGGTGGAATTGCCGGAATTTTTAAATTGAAATTCAATCCAGTCTATTTCTCGTAGATTGTTCAATTAATATTTTTAACACGTGAAAATTTTAATAATTTTCCATTGGAATTCATAACAACGATAAAACACTACCTCACGTAATAAAGACATTGACAAAACAATTTTCTAATTCCCATTCCGACACGTCTCTCCCCTCAATAAAATTCATTTGACCGAGATACGTCAAAGTGTCGATTAGGGAAGGAAGTTGTCCTCGACAATGATGAGAGCCAGAGATACCAATCGAACACACAATTTCCTGGTGTGACCGGACAGCAACACCTTTCTCAAGAGTTCTCCTATCATCTCATTCATGAGAAATTCTCTAGTAGCGGAAAGAGCCTTTAAATTCATGTGGCATTGCAGTTTGGAGTGAAGCCAGAGCAAAACTGAGATTTTGAATCACCAAGACACCACCAAGAAGTCTCACCCTTTGGACACTCAAAACCTCTAACTCTCCTCATATTCTAATGCACCGAGAGTGCACATCTAATTATAGTTACACCCGTCTAGTGTAAACCCAGGGACGTCTCGTTTTTTTCCTTCTGATTTTCATTCGCATTCTTGATTCACTACTCGCTATCAATGAAATATCTCTCCGACTTTATCATTTGCTCTCTCATTCTCCTCTCGGAGATGGGGGAGTACTGTTGCAATTTCTTTGATTAAACATCCTGCCTCTTGGTAACAACAGTCATGAGACTTGTACCAGAAGACTTGCCTCTTGAGGTGAATGCATTTTAGTTTATTTTTTGAGGCATACAACGTCTGGATCACATGTGATTATACATTTTAGTTGAGCTCATGAAATCATTTCGATACATTATTCACGGATAGATGACTAGCGTCATAATAACTGAAAAAAAAGGTCGTAGAATAGAAGCTTTTTCGCTTCCTGGATAATTTTCTCTACAATTTTTCTCTGTCAATTCGAAAAAGAGTTACTTTGTGATACCCTTCCTTAAACACCCTGTCTCTTGAAAAACAGTGACAAGCGTTGTTCGAGAAAGGCCCACTCAAGGCGAATCAAATAGAGTTTATTTTCCAACCGCAACTCCAACGTGTCTGGATCACATGTGATTCCAAATTTACTCGGTCCAATTTTTTGCCCACTTCACCCTTTATAAATCACTTTACACCGCGAATTCTTAGCATTTCTATTCCCATCCTTACTAAACACTTTTTTTTCCCTTCGACTGTCATTAGAGGTCATTAAAATTTTTTATCATTTAATTTTTTCAACATTCGCCGAATAATGTGACGCTAAAAATTGTATTTCAAAGCTCAGCATGACGTCACGTACCATCTGGTCGGGGCTGAGATTTGTACGAGAATAGAAACGATTTTCTAGAGGCACCGGCGAGACGTGCAAAAACTCATGGAGGGAATACGTCGAGAAAATTGCGTCACGGTTAGAAGGTAGGGTATTTTTCAATGAGCCCCAGTAGCGACATTCAATCATTTAACGATTATTTGTTTTTACAAGTCAGCCCCAGCCCCACACCATCATCCTCCACCAACTTCCTGCGCGTCTCTCCATCGTCGTGAAAGATGGCCCGGGCTCATTTTCCTGCGCCTATATTTTTCAATGACGGGAAATCGTATCACTTACACTTGGCTCTCGTTTTTATTTTTGTGGTGAAGGAAAATAATGATTGATTGGGCCGAAAGGTGATACACAACTCGAGGTAGACGTGTCTCTTGGGTTTTCAGGCGTTGGTGGCTATATATAGGTGGAAGCTTGGTTCCCGGGGCACGCGCCGACTGTAAATTAGTTCCCCGACTTTTTGTGTTACATGCCAGGCCACGGTACCTATTCACAAACCAGGCCTTTTAGGAAAATCATCTGGGAATTCGTGATTTTGGTTTCCCCGTGGGAAATCGGCCCATATCATTGCAGGAGTTGTCTCTTCATCATCCTCTTCTCTCGGGAATCAACGGGTTTTTCATAATAGAAAATGTCAATTTTCCTTTATTTCCTCTATTTTTCGAAATCATCAGAGACACATCATGCGAATGAAATGAACAATAAGTATTTTTATCGTCATTAGAGATTATCTCCACGCTATCCCTGTGTTGAAATCCCACTGTCCGCCATTTCTTTAATTGTACAATTGCTACAATATTACCAGCCATTACGCCATTGAATACATTTAAATAGGCAAAGCATTGTTCTCTCCCTCAGTGTTTCTCATTCAATAACAAATGGTCTCAGTGACAAATCCAGTAATGAACATGGCCGTTCAGGTTTATTTTTGACCGACTGTTCAGAATAATATCAGAAGAACAACCTGGTATTCAATGATCGTACAATTGAACAATTGAGACTAATCATAATAATTCAACTGGATGTGATTACACTCCCAATTCTTTAATCCTCTTTCAACGATTTAGTAACGAATTTTCAAAATACGCAATATTGAGATTTTACATGCAGCTGCCAATCGAATTCCAACAGAGCTCCAACAGTATATACCAACTATTGCTAATATTTCCAACAAATTCAGTTCTCTGAGGCGTAAATTTTACGGAATTATTTGTCACAAATATTTCATTCCTCATTGCTAGCTCCAACAATTCGCTACTCCTCACCGCGATAAGTATTTACCACTAATATTTATTGCAAATATTTACCCGTTGCAATGATATGTTAGTTCATCTGTGGTAAATGATTCAAAACTCAAACATCTGTCAAAATGATAATATTGTTGTGAATCAAGAATGTATATTTCTGCCAAAAGTCAGTTTTTCCCTCAGTCATCGAATTTCTATTGAAATATCCCGAGCCAAAGAAGATGTTTTCGACAAATTCGTGGAAGTTGTATGCTTTAACAACTTTTTTTTTTCACGAGTGTCTAGGTACAAGGGGGGCATGATGGGGCACCCTAAAATCCAAGGAAATGACACATGTGACTGGCAGTGAGCCTCAGGTTTGTATTCCCTTCGACGAAATTTCCTCAAAGCCCATATACATAAAGGTCTCGTCTCCCAACACTGTCCCCTTGATTTGGTGGGTGTATCTGCAGGCCAGATGTCTCTTGTACCCGACTTTATGCTTTTAAAATCCCAAAGGTCTTCCCCCCGATCTCAAAGGGACAATAAAACTATCACGGACAAGATCTCGAGACTGTCCGAGAGAATTTAATAAAGAGATAGAGAGAGAGAGACAAAAAAAAATTGAGTGGTTCTGTGATTATGTTAATCGAAGGTACAAATTTATTCCGACTGCACATCCCGAGACCGATTTCTAATCTGACATTTGAAAACATCAGAATACCCAATCGCTCCAGAACCTTAATTGATCCTTCTGCATTTTTATTGTCAAATTATTGTCACTATATATTAGGATTTATCAATTTTCGTGGTCATTTTCCATTTTTATTGTTCTACTGTTCCATCCAATCTGGTCTCATCCCTCGCCTTTCAAGAATAAATTACAAGTGGAGACGATATATTATCTTAAACCACTTGATTACGAATGATAATATATTCATCAGGTGCGATTGGGAGTAATATTGGCGGATTCCTTTTTGGATAAGTGGTAAATTGCTGAAATCCCCCCCTAAAGCGTCAAAATCGTTTGAAAATTATTATAAAAAATCACTTATAGCCCCGCCTAATTGATTATCAAGTGAAAAAGGATGACGAGCGATTGCCGGATGGTTCCGAGAAGGCTTGGGATGTAGAGTTGCTTAGGAATGCAGATGGTCAAGACAAACTATCAAACACTGCATAAATCCACCAGTGATTGGCCATGGACTGCAATTTGTATTTCAATCAATCAGGATTGGAGATTAATAACTAGTTCATGGTGATGTGAACGCGTTGACGTTACTGCTCCATTAAATTTAAGACCAACCTCATCCTATTCCTCTCCCTATATTTTTATTCTCACATGAATGATCTATCCTATAATCGTCCTGAGGATCGAAAAAAAAAGAAGGATTATCATCGCGGGGTAATCTTCCGTGGGTTCTGACAGAGTGCCACGATGAAAGCTGGTTATTAATCAGACAACCTCTGTTTCACATTACGTAAACGATTTAATCTAAATTCTCATCTGAGGAATTTCTTTTGGGATTTTAATTGTTTGTTTCTCTTTCTGCAACCGAATGGGCGTATTGCGATAGCGAGAATTTAACATTTGGCTATTTTCGGGTTGGAATGAGACAGTGATCTACAATCCTTGAAATTGTGGAGAAAAATCGGGCGTTCATTGTGGAGTCATGAATATTCAAGTGTTCGTTAACAACTAATGGGTGGATCATTAATTTTTAATCACATGTGAACATCTGCTCGTTTTTTTTAGAATTAATTTGGGACCGGAGTTGGATCGTTAGTCTTGAAATTATTGAATTTTGGAGGTAATTGTTTATTATGTGGTAGACTCACCGAGATGAACAATTCGTGATGTAGTTTCCGCAGCGAATAGGACAGTGATAAAAAAGATAACTGGAATAGTCGTCGCCATCCCGTCTGGTTCCTCTCAACTCCACTTGTGATCAACTCAACACCGTCATGAGTGGAAACCTACAAAACAAAATCAACAATGTGTGAAAAATAAACTACGTGATACGGTTTATTAACTTTCTATTTACTCAGTGGTGTTTTCGAAGTGTCTTTATTTTTTTATTCATTTGGTTTTTAAGAAAGGGAGAGTTTCTCGTTTCTTTCGCGGTCGAGTGGGGAGTCCCCTTTCGATTTTTGGCAGTTCTCCAAGTGCCGAAAATGCACTCTTGAAGTCTCAGGTTTTCGCGCTGAAATATTCGAGGGCAGTTGAATGTTTTGGGGTTCCCTTCTGGTGGCTAAGGAGAAGGGATCATGAATTTCAAAGAGAACATGGAGATACACTCCACCGTGTTTACAATCGTTGTAGTATACAAAAATAGATGCAGTCGGGAGGGGAGTGCATTTAATTCTACCATCTTTGCACGTCGCTCATGTGAGTAGAGTGCATTCCCCAGTTGAAAATTCCGTTTGTTGTCCACCTTTGTCAACTTGATTTATGGGTTTATCTATTTGTCATGGATTTCTTTCGGAAGAGTGCAAAAGAGAATTTATGTTTTAGTTCATTGCTGTGAGTATTCTCATAAGTGCACACCACTTTTCAACGCACATTCCATTATCCTCGTGCAATTTTTATTTCTCTTTATCAGTATTCCATGTACATCTGGGGAATCGTTCACACGCCAGTCTAAGATGAGAATTCCTCTCTATTTTTCTGGTGAAGAATTTTCAAAATGATGATTATTGGAATGAAAAGAACGGAGAGATGAGTTTTGAATTTCAGAGACCACTCTAATTATCGAAATAATCTAATCCTAATTCGCTGTCTCCCAGGAGGAATGAGAATGCGAGGGGATGGACTGTGAAGAGGATCGACTAATTCGACGTTCAGGTAGATCAGGTTCGTGAATTCCATATAACTCTCTCCCTAATATCAATAATCATATGTAATTTCGAGGATTGTACACGCAGACAGTTAATTGGACGATTCTTCGCCCAGTGGCTCGAAAAGGAATGGTGTTTAGTATTAAGGGGGATGTTGATTGAAAATTCATATGTTGGATGTAGCAAGAGGAATCATAATGCATTATGCAATTCCTCATACTGCGGACGTGCGTACACGGAAGAGCTACTGCTTCCGGTTCAATTCGCAATTACGCCTATTGCGTTGAATTTATTCACACGTGGATTATTGCCAATTGCAAGACCTTCACGGCTTTTTTCTCGAATCATTATTAACGTCCCGTTCGGATGGTTCCGTTATCAACGTAATGTGCGACGAATTTTTAATTAACAATCAATAATGTAATCATTAGTTCTGCTGCGAAGTGGGTAAGCGCCATTTTTTCACCACCACTTTTTAGTCATTATCTCGATATTCAGGGAAAATACGCATTTTTTCGTTATTATATTTTTTGTAGCTCTTGTCTTTCTCTATAAAAAATGGTTGAGCAAAAAAATTGTCATGTTCATTCAGTTCCGAGATATTGGCGAAAAATGGAAACGGGAAAAATTGCGCTGATTCTAGTTTCTTGAAAAGAGGTGTAATTTCACCTGAATTTTCAACAAATGGTGCAAAATTGATTGTTGCAACAAAAGTGCGATAAATTACTCGTAGATAAGGTTTACTGCCTTTGTTTATGGGCCGTGTCAGAGTTAATTTATCGAGTCGACGCAAACTCATGGGCATTGAATCACAATTTTTTAGTTCAGAGATGCCACATGGCTGCTTCGGTGTACCTCAAACACCAGAAATTGAATCCTTTGAGTCTATATTCCAGTTCTGTTTGTCTTCAGAGGGTTGTTCATACCGACATGAACACCAACAAGCAACAATAACGATAGCCCGAGCATATAAAACGCACCTGTAACGGTTTTCCCCCCATATTTTTCCATTTACTTGGGAACGCATGTCAACACTCATGTGTTAACGTGCCCGTAAAATCATCAAGCCATTTTTTATTCCCTAGAATTTCAATTGATTCCGTTCTCTCGTTAGGAATCCAAACTTTACGATAATTACGTGAAAACCATTTTAACATCGAACGGAAATCGTACGAATTATTTGAGTATCGAGTGTTTTTTAGATAAGGAGATATTGTATTTCCGGAGTGAAATTTAAACTTTGATGGAACAACTCTGTAATTTCCACGGCCGAATGTGAAGTCGAGAAAATCTTTCGAAATCGGCCCTTAATTTAGATTTATAGAGTAAAAATTCCACCTACGTATGGATGATAATTAAGAAAGCAAATGAAAAATAATGTAACGATTCGATTTTAATTGCTTGATGGAGAATAGAACAATCGAAGGCGGATGTTTATCATCGGTCTATTGTAACACCAATAGGATAGCGTTCTCAGAGTACAAACTAAGATTCCAATCGAACGATTAATTATTCTCGTGTCGCAATAGAAATTGCACTTTATGGTTCATTTAATCTCGGAGTACAGCTTGACATCAATTATTTTCACAATTGGAATGTCATATTTCGTTATTCCGTTGAATTCCGAGTGTTCCGTGATTTAACGAGAGTGCAGAGGAGCCATGAAAAACATAATTTCCCATTTTTCGTTCAGAGAAGTTTCTGGGAAATTTTTTAGGGATCTGGATGATGAAGATCACGTGTTTAAAACTGGAATGATTATGGGCCCGGGGAATTAGTCAGGTTGACGGGATTCAGTGTCTGGCACCGCCTCTTCATCCCCATCCGTTATTCCTATTTTTTTTTTCCTCCTCAGGAAATACAAAAAGGGGGAGAGATTATGGAGTTCCTGGGTGGGCCCTAGGCCATTGGAAGACTAAATAAACTAAATGGAGAAGTTCACCCCTTTCCCAAATACCAGAGAATTTTTAACACCAGAATTTGTTACTTTGTTCTTTCCAAGACTCAGCTTCACGGATCTGTTTTCAAAAACTGAGGTCTCATGTGGGATTATGAGTTGAGAACGGGGAGACAGTGTATTTCAGGCAGTGGGGCCCCACGGAATTTCTCGGTCCCACCCACAAGTCAGAATAATTTTAAAGGTATCAGGAGAATGGGAGTGCAATGATATGATGAGGAAAAAATGAATAAAAATATTCAAACATCATCCATCGCGCTAATTGTTCGGGATTCTGAAGAGGAAGCAGGAGGTTTTCCCGGGCGACATCCGGTGGATGTTGAAAAATTGGAGTAAAAAAAATTGAGATTGGGAGATTGAACTTGAAGGTGCACCACGTGCACCAGTGAGAAATCCTTCGGGGTTCTCCTGCTCGCGCCAAAAGACATGTCTTCTTCCATTATACCCTCCAATCATGAAAACAAGTCAACAAAATCAAATTATACATATTGAACGTTCCAAAAGAATATATTAAAAACAAATAAACGTATATTGAATAAAAATCCATGACAGCATCCATATTTCCTCGTCCGTGAACCACAAAATGGCGTCAGTATTGAAGAACATATTGACTAGGCTGGAAGGTATCTCTGGTTAACGGATTCGCAAATATTCATTCCCCCTCAGCACTTGGCAAATCATTTTAGCACGTCTAAACCCAACAAACTGTACAAAGTATCCACCAACTTCGCCAAGTTGGGAGACTCGAAAGTGCACGCCATCTTGGGCAATGCCCACACGCGCTCAAAACCTCAGCCGATAGAAAATTCAATCGTGACTCGCATAAACAAACAGTTTTCGGTTGGTCAACTGCGCGTATTGAATATCAATCGTTGCATTTCACACTCACTCAAAAACAACGGCCGATAAAGAAAAAAATGTCAAAACCTTCCAAGAAGACGATTTATCTCGAAATACCTTTACCTGACACTCTTTATCGCGAGTAAACACCCCTGCCCTTTCGTATTTACTTACCTGATACGAGTACAAAAATAAAAATTAAACAGCATCTCTATCTTCAGATAAACATAACATCAAGTTCAAGATAAATCAAATTATTGTTTTGTAATTATAATTGACGCAGAAGAAATATTGTTGGAGTTAATTTGCGCTGAATAATTAATTACTCGTATGAAATGGCAAATTTCACATGGGCCCCATTTTGCCCCGGCTTTTGGTTAATGAAGTCCTCTAGTCTTGCGAATGGGACTAATCACCGGCGCCAGTGTTTCCGTTTCTGAGAATCATCTCGCACAGTTGACTTCCTACACGACTCCAAACATCTGGTTCAACCGAGATTTAACTTTTTATGGTTACCCAATCCCTAGGAGAAACAGTTACGGTAAGTTTACTGGGGTTCTTGATAGACTATTGCGACATTGACTGTTTATAATTTTAATCAAACGTTGATAAGGATAATATCTTGGCGCCGAATGCGATGGATTGCCTAGGTGAACCCGAAAAGACGTTATCTCGAGGAAAATCTTGTCGGTGGTTATCTACCAATGAGATACGTCTGTATCTGGGACTCCCATCGACTCCAATCTCAAAACAATGAATCCCCAAGGAAAATTTGAAGTTGGAAAAAAATTCTGGTAGTTGATACAGAAATGGCGCATAAGCCGTCGCAGTTAAAATGCACTTACTCGGCAGGTGTAAATTCATTCCTATATTTTTTTAAAACTGGAGGTGCTCCTTTTGTTAACCCTTATATTAGCCCTTATCACAGGATTGAGGGAATGAAACGAGTGTGGGCCATAACTCCTCCGCACGCGTTCGTCGTGTCTGATGATCGGTAATGGACGGTTTCCTGGGTAGACGATGGACGACGGTTAACTGACGATTTCAATGTTGAAGAACAACAACAGATAAACCGAATCTCAAATTTTCGGATGGCATGCAAGTGCCGTTCATATCGCGTTTTAATTAATTTTCCATGTCGGAGGATGTGATTCGCGTCGCATCTGAATTATAAACGGTGATCTGGTTCATTAAAGAACTCCATCGTTAATGATTGTACATGAAATCCTGTTGTTTTTTAATCCCTACATTTTTAACACGCATTCAGTATTTCCCCTGCGGCATTTTGCAGAGAAAAAAAAATCGGTTAAATTGAAAAATTGAAATGAAATGTTCAGCTAAG